TTTTTATTTTAAACAAGGATTTATTTTTACCGTATAAAACTAAATAACGATTCAACTTGAAAAACTTACTTGCCCTTTGAATGGTTTGAAATTATTTTCTACTGTATATGCTCTGTAATCAAAATTAAATGTTATTACTTACTTAACAATTTAACATATTTTTTTTGTCTTTAGGTTAAACAAAAAACACATTCATTATCAGAGTTTTTAAAGGAATTAATTTCAATTTTGGTAATATAATCTTATATATTTTGTTTAATAATTTACCCAAGGTCCATCTAAATTCTAAATWTAAATAGAGTTAAGTTCAAAATACTTAAAATGTTTATAAATACAACAAAATATATGAACAAATATTTTTTATATAATATAATGTTAATCGTTGGCGGCTTTGTACATAAAGCTTTTAGCACTTGGTAGATAGCTGAGACTCTTTACAAGGAATTAGTCCATTTAAAATATATTAATTTTTTATCATGAAACCGTTTGACTTTTTGGCTCTAGAAAATTTGGATGTTACAAATTGTTTTTAAATTTATTCATTAAAACAAGGAATAGGTAGCTATTAACAATAATAATWATATATTATTGATTATTATTACATTTAATTAAATTTGTGTCTCAGAAAATTATAGAATATTAAAWTTTTTTTTTTGTTATGCCTTATGAATTATTATTTGTGAACTTGATTGTTTAACTACATACAAAAAATAATAGTATCTTTACCTCTTATTCAATAATTTTACCTAACAAGTCTTGTTTTATTTGTCTTTTTGTATAAACATTTTTAGTAAACCTGACCAAAGGTGATTGTTAATATGTTTCCACCTATCAATTTTATATCCTGATTTAGGAACRATATTAATTGAATTCTATAATAAATTTAACGATATTCAAATTATATGAAAACAACTAATATTGATCTCTTTGYAGTAAAATTATAAACCGTAAAAGTTGCTTATTTAAAAATAAAATAATCTAATGGTCTCACTATTTGCCAAGAACTTATGCTTTTTGGAAAATAAATAAATTCTCAGATGGACTGATATAAATTATTTTTATTGTTTAGATAAACGTTTGGAAACAAGATACTTCTACATACTTGTCAAATTTAAGCAATGCACATTATGATGAAAAATTTTATTATGTGATTCAAGAAGTTAATTTATATGGACRATATGTACATCAAATTGATGAAAATCTAAAACACATAACTTTCAACGTTTTAGATATGCGTAGGCACAGCCATTTAATCAAAGTTTTTATACCTGATGAATATCCCAAGATTAAGAAACAACCATTATATTTTGAAACTATGGTTCCTACAATCGTCTTAAACTTATTTTTGAAGGTAAATATTTAATTTATTATAAATGTGTTGTTGGAAATATGGTAATATTTATTATAAATCCAATGATAAGACATTAGTAAAACCTTGGAAAAAAATGTATTGGCCTGCAATTATAATTGAAAATTTCTAGAAAGCTTGAATTCATATTAGCAAAAATTGCTCACTTCGGAATATATACTGGACAAAATCACAGCCTTTTTAAATATAATATATAAAATCTGCAAATTATATCACTAATTAAAAATATATACAGTATTAAATGTATTTTTTTACAATTATGGTTTTTTTAACTTGACCCCCTGCTGTCCCCTAGCCATATAGTGTTCAATATTTTTGTATAAGATACAATACCAATTTCATTTTTATAATTTAAGTTATTTTTCAATTTGAGTGGTGAGAATAGGACAATTTAAAACATAATT